ATGTGCACATACATACACATGGATTATAAACATGTATCGTGGCGTAAATGACATTGGATGACTAGTCATCGAAAGGGGAATTTTGACCGGTGGATAGGTGCACAGAATACAGTTGTCTGTTGTTGACGTATTCTTTTTCCTGATCATGTCTAGTGGTCACGGTTCCGTTTCTACATCATTTTATACCGAAACCTGTATATCCTTATAACTGACGTTTCAAAAAGCATAGCCCTTATCACGGTGAAACTGACCTTGCTTGACGCAGTGTTTGTCTAACTTTTCAATACATTATGACGAGGCTTTCGTCGTGAAAGTGTTATGCCTTTTCAACATACTTAAGTAATTGTGTGACAGCTTAACTTAGGGTTATATTTGTCGTCTGAAATTCTGGATTAATTATACCAAATTTTGCATCCATACTTAGGAGTAATGTCCAACAAGGTTGACTGCAATAGGGGCAAGTCAAGACACGATAAAAAAGGTAGGTCCACTCAAAGCCGCCCGCCGTTTCGTTCAAACGATCTCGAACAACCTAGTTTTAGGTGGCCATTCCGTATTTCACTCGCTGTGTGTTGGATGGGTATCCGTTGGGTTGCGTGGATTTAAAGTACTTCTATATTCAAGTAGTCTTTTGCTGCAGTAAAATCTTAAAATCATTGAGAAAACATTGATTAAATCTTCTCTGTCTTTTAGCGTAAAGGTTGGATTGATTGTTGTTTCGCAACTTAGTCTGGGATGCCAATTGCTCTACTAAACTTCAACGCCTCTGCTTAAGACTCGGTAAGTTTCAGCCAGCAACGCATTACTAATGAGTTAACAAATTTAGACACACAACGTTTACTTAGATCACTATTTTGTACAAAGTTTAAGACGAAATGCCAAATAACCGGAAAGGTTTAAGCTTCCACCTTATATGCTAATGATACTTACTGCAGTTGGTCAAGTATCAATGCAAGGATTAACTATTTTCTTTGTTTCATAATTACTCCGTGTTCAAGATATGTTACAGTTGACGTAGGCAAGGTGAACAGGCGTACTCCAAGCTGGACTGGTTTAGATAGTGTGCTAAACCAATTTCAAAATGTAGGAAAGGACAACTTCATCCCTTCCTAGACTACCCATAATCACTACGCACATGTTGACAGTAAATTGCCAAGGGACATGGAATGAAATATATTTTTGTGGTATTTCACTGCACATTTGGTTGTAAGTGTAAATCTCAAGGTTTAACAGTGAATAGGGAACTTTAGGTACCATGTGACGCTTAATGTCTAAGTTTTTCAGCTGTCAATCAACGTTCCGTGTATTATAATGTCATTCAAGATGCTTCACAATCATCGTTGTAGTAGCTCATGGGCGGCTTTTGACCCATGGATCAGACGAGGTGAGACTGTAATATATGGACGACCTTTGAGTGAAGCCAAAGCAGCTTGGTTCGTCCATAAATTATAGTCTCGCCCCAGAAGATAAAGTTTTTGGCTGGTGACGCTGCGATCACCATCAACAGATGAAGCAATAAGACGTATTCAGGATCAAACTGGCATGCAGGTCACTGCTGCTGATGTGAAGACGAAGATAGCTCAACTCTACACAGTTAAGAGTATAAATGTATATTCCAGGTTGTTCCAAAATAACACGACTTCATTCCTCAAGCGAAGCAAACAATATGTAGAAATTTAACGAAGTCAAAAATGTACGAACAATAGACGTTTTTGGAAAAATGGTTGGATATCTGTTCTCCCAGTTATCTGATGTTCATCTTTGAGGATTGTGTGGTACGACTAATACCACTATAGATGTATCGATAATCTTAACGTGTAAATGTTTGTCAAAATTAGAAACAACTAAGTGTTTGCTTTATAAGTATTCGTTTCGTTATGAAAACTTGTGGTACTGTAGTACCGTCCCGTAAATTGCATATCTAACGGCAAATAACTTTTCAAAATAAATAATCCTGTAAGTTTTCAACATTAGCGCTGACATCGTTAGTCCTACAGAACATTCCACATCTCTCGCATTCTTAACATCTATCATGTTTGCTGGCACTCCCAGTTTCCACATAGAAGCTCATCGCGAAGAAGTTCTGTTTCTAGACCAAGAGAAAAGAATAACCTTGATCGGTGTTGGTACCAGATCACCTGTGGTAAATTGTCCCGGTATCCTCCTAGCCGATAAACGTTAACTGCGACCGTAACCGAAGGACATGAACGCCTGCCAAACACTACTGATGTGATGACGAAGTGCACTTTCTCGTCGACACTAGCGCAGAGGTTGGCTTCCTTCCCGATAGATACGGTCTTCAATGTACCGGTGGCAAACTGAAAACAGATCACCAAATATGGTAAGATATACGTTCCTCCTGACGTGTGTTTGCTCAAAATCAGTCGTTGTTGCAGATGTTTCTATATCAATCATTGATAACATAATCTATTCATCGACCCGACAAAACGGAGGTCAATAGATAGAGATAACAGATTATCTGTTTGTAGAACCATACTTTCTGGTTGTAGGTTATCGCTAGTCAAGATCGTGCATGCAATCGATCTATGCTTTCAAAAGGTACTCGAAAAGTACCCTGAAATGTACAAAACGCGACCGAACTATCATGTGTAAGCAACAACGTTACACACCACATTACGATCAGAGGTCCACTCGTATTTTCGAAAGTGAGACGACTTTCTCCCGTAAACCTATGTCTAACGGAAAAGGAATTCAACCACATGATAGACTTGGGATATATTCGGCCATCAAACTAATTATGTGCATTTCTCTTGTACATAGCCCCTGAAAAGCACATCGACGACGTCTTTAGTGGACTCAATTGCGAAAACGCACACGAAGATGCGTGTTTAGTCGAAAGTTAGGACAGAGAATCTCTTCCCCAACATCTGAACCCTATCCCCGCACAACTCCGAAATATGTCCCTACTGTAAACGTTCAGAAATTTCAGATAAGAACAGACTTCATGGATTTTCTCGGTGCTCAAGGTGTCTACCCTCTGAAAAGTAAAGTGGCGGCCACTCTGTACTACCCAGAACTCATCAATTTGGACGACGACGCGGCATTTGCCACAGTTGAGAGAATTATCGGAGGGGGGCTATGCTCGTGAACCAAGACATCAAAGCATACAATGGTATCTCAGTAGACGTATCGGACTCGGTGTTCGGAGGAGTCTTACAGCAATGGGTAAACAATACCTTGAAGCTTTTTACATTCTTCTAAAGACGACTGCAAGACACTGAATTGAAGTATAAAGTTTTCTGCAAGAAACGTCTAGCCATGTACTGTTCTTATGGCACTTTCAACACTACGTGGAATGCCGAAAATTCGCTCTATTTACCAACCACAAACATCTGACCTTCTCTTCGGGTCTGTCTTCCGACAAATGCTCTACTCGAGAGTCCAAACGACTAGACTACATTTCGCGGTTTACTTCAGATAAAACATATTTCTCGGACGAACGATTTAGTTGCAGTTGCTTTGTGCCCTACGACTCCATTGAACAGTTCCCAAGGAATTGACCACCTTAAAGTCGTCCACCTTCAAAATGAAGACATTGATCTTCAGCATGAGCTAATTTTAAAAACCCTTAAACTGTGTATCATGCGGATGGGAACTGGTGAGGAAACCGTACCATGTGACACGTTTACTGGTAGGGATCGTCCAATCATGCCGGAACATCGAGGCAACGTCTTCAATATGTTGCACAAGATTTCTCAGCCAGATATTCCAGCAACCGTCCAAAACCTCCCGTTTTATCTCGATTATTCCGTAACACTTTGTCAAAAATATCTTTTTTTCCTAGTATGCCAATATATGTGTTCACTTGGTTTTTTCCTGCTTAAAAAAAATCTAATAAGCTTTTTGTCTGAAATATTTAATGCTATGGCATACTTTCTATATAATCATATACCAGATTTTTTAACGCGTTTTGCGTCACCACATACGTATGAGTGCATTTTGACATGCGCTTATACTCTTCCTTTCTTTACTTGGAAGACTGGAAAAGACGAAAAACCGGCAAAGAAAACAATGACTTGAATCTTTGATCATGCATTTCTCATTGTTATATTGTGCCACATGACCCCTTATATTAAGGAAGATCAACCGAGATCTGATGGACATAACAAGTTCTCAGAAGAATGTTTAATAGGGTAGTCTCGTAACGTTTATAGTTATGACCGGCCAATTGTCAGAGTCATCGCTACCCCTCTAAAAGGAGAAAGAGCTGTAGCGGCAAATAAATCCACAAAAATAAGTAGATCTGAAAGTCTTCCTTATCGTTACCGACATATTAACGTCGGGCAAGCTGCAGTACGACTCGTTAACGGTACAAAACTTTGAGCTCCAGAAATTTCGTGGATCTCTTATCCACTTCCGTGAATGCTGATCTAAATTCCGACACGAACAGACTTACAAAGGTGTTGCGTTCAGTTAAACCTGTTTCTACTCGGTCCCAGTCAACTGATGTCTTCGCACGACTTAGTGCACGTTTCTGTACGTCGTAACTAATTACGAAACCTCTTGAAATTGCATACGATTACCCTTTAAATTTCTATAGCGCAAAGCTATGTATTATATCATCGATAGAAAAGGAACAAGTGATAACATAAGCATTAATAGTCTTAAAGCCCCTTAATTAGAAGGAAACCCTAATATCCTGAATTTCCACAGAACAACGAAACGACGCAGGCTTCAAGACTACGATCCCATCACGGAAAACTAACGATCATGACGAAAGTTCACTGATATCCGAAGACCAATCCAGAACGTGTTGTGGAAGGACGGTAATGTTAATAGAATACTAGAATGACTACCGTATGTAGGACATTATAAAGGTTTTTGTTTAGTCTTACCTTATCAATATGTTTACACAGCACTAAAAATTCCAATGTCTTTTACATGTCTCATGGTCCAATTGGCAGCATGTTCAGTTAATCTAACAATGGAATGTAAACTTTCCATAAAATTATTTGTAGAATTTGTTATAAGACGAATAAATGACGAGACAATGCTTATTCATCATAGTTTTAACATCTCCAAAATTCTCAGCATGGTGGTTGATTAGCGTTCAGCAAGCCATTACAAAGAAGCGCGGGGCTCAAAATCCGTCAGAATTGGTCAAATGTGTCTGGACTCAAGTAATGTATATTCGAAGACGGAATTATGAACATGGAAGAATAAAAAGAAACAATCGCAGAAACAAATCGAACGAATCGCTTCATTTTATGTAAGTTCTCGAAGTCTCAAAGCTAATAGACTTGGATGCAAATATAAGTTCCAAATTATTAAGTACTGGTTAGAAGAGCCCAGGAAGTCATATGAACTCTAGAAAGAAAAGGATTTCTGATTCAAATAATTCGAAGGATCCTAAAGGAAACATGCAATCCATTTGTACGTTCTACGGCACTATTTAGAGAGTACTCCCATGTTGTGTCAGATCTGGACTTACGTTTTAGAGAATTTTAATGAGTACCGATAATTCAGTGGATCCTTAAAACGCCCCTAAATCCGTCACCTTTTAAGAGACAAATATCTGATGCTTTCGTTCTGGACTTCGAATCAATAGTGCGTTGACCCTTTTTCCAATTCAAGGGGAAATACAATATACGTAAGAAATCAGATAAAAAAACTCCCATGATTAACCCGACGGAGATGGGTCATGGAGTTACGAGAATATTAGTGGCTGGGAAGAGCCTCTGTCAAAGTCGATATATTGTCCGGTGTCATTAACTGAAATGCTTGTATTACTTGTAGCTGAAATTTATTTTCCTCATCATACTATGCCGTAAGTGAGCTACATTATTACCTTTTAGAATTGAAAGGTAATCAACAGATATATTCGTCTGTTCCCAGTGTTTTTATAGCCTCAGCTGTATGTTACTTATGAGGATTAGACAATTTCTTCACAAGTTTTGTGGCGTGGACCACTCAGTGAGATTCTCCATTTCTTGGACTTTCAATCAAAGCATAGCAGCCGAACATGTTGGCTAAAGCCCACCATATACTAGAGAAGGCTTTTTGTTTAGGATAGCTACTTCCCATGTGAATAACAATTGCGGGTAACTGTTATTATGAATAACTGCTATTTTAAAATTATGAAAAACAGCTTATTTGGCCGTCTAGAAATTCCAATGCATTTTCCTGTAAAATTTCCCAAATATGCCTCTGAAACTACACATCGTATCCCCACTTTGAATAATTATAAACTAACCAGATTATTTGTGTATTTCTGCCGCGTCCATCAACTTCATCACTTGTCATTGTGGCAGTTCTTGCTTGGGTTGGATAGCTGACCAATATCTCCAGCTTTTATCAAAGTCGGAATTGAAATATACTTGTTTGACAAGTTATAATAATGCATGTCATGTTAATTACGAAGTCGAGACGAATATATCCGGAAGACTTCATTGTTATTTATGAAACAACGCAAGTTTACTCGATGGTTAATACAAAATTAATATGTCAAGATTGAAATGTGTGGTGTATCTGTCTTTTGTCCATCGATTATCGTTAAACAGGTTACGTGAATAGTCTTATTAGGTACTAAGACAGTTTCACGCATTATGCATATGGTGTCATGACGGAGATAATTTATATTTTAACGCATTTAAGATCTTTGGTGCTTGTAAATTGTTTGGTTCAAGAATACCAACATCTTAACTCCTAAACTGTAGTTCTAAGAACAACTAAGTTGCTTTTGATATCGTGTATACAGACGTTACTGAATATTTTCCATTTGAACTTGCAAGATATGCCTAATTCAGAGTGTAAATGTGTATCTAATTAGCAGAGGACTTCGAGTCAAGGTTTTATTACGCCTGTAGTTTTAAGAAAACCGCTTACTGTTTTTCTGCTCACAAATAGAGCGTATTGCATTACTGTTGGGCTGAATATTTTTTTGTTTCTTTAAATCAGAATCCATAACTTAAATCGTAGTGCTGTGTAGTATGAGTACTGTAATAGTAAACGTGATTCCCGAAATTTTAGATTTGGAACCTATTTTAAACTTCTGTTGGCTTGGGCAAGCATAATAATGCTGGACTTTTTTACGGATCTTCGTTTTGAATTTATATGGTCTTGTTGGCTAATGGTACGAACAGTTAATGATTCATTCAGATATCAGGGTTTGGTAAGCATTCCAGTTTGGTCTGAGTCATTTAATAATTTCCAATATTTTTCAACCCAACTGCATAAATTTATTTCAAGAGCTGTTTGTGCACTAGTCAATCATTAGAAATTAATTTTCATAGTATGAAAACATTGGTATGGTGTAATTTGATTACCGAGTTTGACGTCAATCAAAGGCCATATACCTAGGGTTTATATTTCTCGGTCTCTTCTGTAGGGTACACATAGAACTTCGAAGCAATCTATTGTCCTTCAGATATTTCAGTCGGTATTGTCTGACGCTTTAATAAAAAAATTACGTTTTACCCGTAAGGATCTCTTTAAATACATTCAAGGTTGACCTTGTAAATATTAGTTGTCATTTGCGTAACGACTAAATCTCATTATTGTACATCATATGGATTGGTTTATAAATTTAAGGAAGATGACTAAGTTTCCCTATTACCAATTTTCACATAGATTATAGGCTGCATTTCTAAATATCTCGTATACTAATTACTTCGGGAAAAACAAATACAAACCAATTTTGTGTTCATAAATCCTGTTGTTTGCTAGTTTCTCATCATTTTGCCAAATCACAGATAATAAAAATCATCACTGCAATGTTACTGTTGCTCGCTTTTGTCGTTTTTCTCTCACTGATCACAGATTTACGTCAACAAACCTTTGGATAATAAACAAGTCACCTACAAATGTGACGGTCTAATCCAGTCCTTGTATTTTCAGTAACGTGTGCAGGTTCATAATAAACTATGTAAATCCGCGAAATGGAGCCATAGTTTTCGAGTAATTTAGTTTTTCTCACTAATCTTTGTCTGTGTTTCCCCAATATAGGACCAAATCGACTATATGATCTGTTTATTGAATCAACTTTCCTAGGTACCCTCGTTTTAAAAATAGCAAAACCTAAGACAAGTATGTCGATCCAGGCATTTGTGAGAAATTTCAACCGATTCCATCAACTAACGGCAAAATATGATTGCCAAAGTTATGGGGAGTATCTACGTATCGTTCCCAACAAAAGCTCTATTTTTCTTAGGCAAGACTTTTTAAACGTATCAAGGCAAAGAATGTGGCTACTTAAATTAAATCTATTCAGAGAGTTATGGGGTTCATCACATTAACAGTCATCATGAGATGTAATTATATAAAGTTTCCTGAACTATTCACTTCAGTTAGTTCAATCAGTAGGTACATGTGATTTACAGTTACTTTAACTACGGGGTACTTTATTTATTTATTTAAACATAAACATTGGTGCCAGAAGGCACCAAATATATATGCGCCACACAAATTTTTTGATATACTCGAGGGCTGGAATACAGCCTTGGTATCTGAACCGAAGCAGGTGGTTTTCTTAGGGGGGCCACTCCTCAATTCTTTGGCCTACAAGTTCAATCCACAAGGCAGTGGAGAGACGTTAGGAGATGCAGTTTCATGGTAGCTGGTGGCCAAATATAGGTTAATACGCCATTTTCCCCTCAGGATACTGGAGCCCATGAGCTTCATTGGTTTGGAATCAGGTTTTCTAACTTCCCTTGGTGGACCCTCTGTGTACACGGACCTGGTTGAAGAGCCAGACATTCGCTTTTTGTCTACTCAACTTCGTAAACAATACCCCTGCTGCGGGAAGGCACTGAGCAGGACTTCCATGAGAGTGGCTGTGTACGCGTGACTATGTGAGAATATTTCGAGAGGGAGGGCTGGCCCTCCCATTCCTCAGCTGCACCAGGCCATTGAGGGTTACTTTATGTAGGCTTCATAAAGGCCACACCAAACTAGATCTTGAAAAAACTCCGGTTCGTTTTGTTGTAAAATAAGTAGAAAATTATTGTTCGTTTTGATATTCTCATCAATCAACTACTGATTCGCCTTATGGGCAGTTACATAAGAGATGACAGCCTACTTGATCATCGTATACAGAGCTTTAAGTGGATATTTTGAAATACCACTTTTTCGATAACCTTGTATGGTGTATATTTATAGTATAGTGTATATTTTTCAGGGGTTGATAGGAAATAATCACTAGTCAGGTCCCCAGTTAAGGTATATATTGTTCCGTAAATCATGGGACTCCCAAATCTCTATTTGATGAATTTTGTCCAAATTATGATAAGTATTTATTTATTTAAACATAAGCATCTTTAGAAAATCAACTAGTAAAGTATAAATTACAAGTTAAGAGGAGCTTTTAGTACTCGCTAAATAGCTAGAAATCGAAAAACGTAATAGAAACTGGCCCCATTACTAATAATGGTAATATCTTAAAGACTTCGTTTTTATTAATTTTGGGTTTTTGTAATCAAAAATCACCACTTTTATACATTTTAGGCATTTGCCCTGTTCTTTACACTCACTGCAATCATGGCTGATTTGCTTTGTTACTTTCTTGTACCCACTACATTGATCTACCTGCTTGGTAGTTCATGTGTATGGATGCATCTTTTATGGCAAACAGGTAGGTCTTTTTGTATTTCTGTTCAACAAGAAAAAATAATGAATCCATAGATTAAGTACTTGATAGTTCTCAAAGTTTTATCCAGAAATACAACTGGTTGTTGCATACTTCAAATCTTTCAGAACTTATTTAAGTTTGTATATGTAAATTCTTGGTAGTTTTTCATATCAGTTTACAACATTTGTCAAACTTGTTGAGTATTTCGATTCTACTTTCTATAAGGGTGTATAGAAAGTTACTTTTAATGTTCTTTGATAGTCACTTTTCCCTATTAACCCCTATTTCTCTTGCAGTTCGTTACCACACATTTCACAATGTTTACCTCTTTGAGGAAGGAGGCTTTTAACATTAAATGACAACGAAGTGTTAGTCATTATATTTCTCAACACTTCATACACTATGATATTTTACCCCAATTTAACCTGTTCTTTGTTTGCATCATTGTGTTTCAATAGGTTTATTAGTTCCTTTCATTATATTTTTAAGTTTATGAAACACTCCGAGAATACAATATTTTTGTGTCTAAATAATGCTTGTTGTCATCTGTTGACCACTCAAAGTGCTAGAGGGCTTGACCACAAATAAAATAAGCACTAATTTCTAGAAAGGTCACAGTTAACATTGTAATTCTGGTCTCAATTCATGTTCAAATAATAGTCTGCGGAATTACAGCAGCAGATGATCCTGGATTTCTGTTAGAAGCATACTCTCAAATTATTAGTGTTGATACCTCTCTTGAATAACAATGTACTTCTTGATCCAAACCCTGAAATAATTAAGCCTCAAGGTAACGTCGTTTGTGTTATAACTTTTCCTTTTGTAACACCGTTGATTTTATCTTCTCCTTCGTAACGATCCCTATAAAATGTTTTTTCAACAGAAAACCACATATTATTGTCGTGATCTTGTCTCGCCTAGAGAAGCATTCGAACTACTAATCACTTATATATAAACCAGAAAATGTGAAGTGTGGTTTACGGGCTAGTGGTAATGTGGGGGTGACGGAATGTCAAGAAATAGTGCTTTTTATCCATCGCTTATACACCCATTTGCTTGTTTTTTTACTTAGACGGCTGCTGTTATCATTAAATTCTACTGCTTTGTTTTAAAATTTCTCTGCTTGATGTGATTCATTTTGTTTACTTTCGTCACCTTAGCCGTGTTCTGTAAATGTGCTTAATAGTTATGTTTATTCATGTAAGGTCTCAACCAGCACGGAGCTAACACAAAAATTACCCACATAAAGGTCGTATGTGACCGACCTCAAGCAGTTGTCCCCTAGGCACTTCGGTCACTAAGGCCAACTTTAACTCAATTTCCCTTACAGCCACCTCTAGAAGAACCCTTTCACGGTGTGAGCCACCGGGAAGTGATAACCACCCTCATACATCTTACAACACTCAAGACCACTGTATTCATAATCGATTTCCCTCTTCAATTCTTATTATTCCTCCTATCTCGACTGTCAAATATAAACTTCTCCCCTTGAGTGTCACCATGGTCAACGATTCTAGTGCACGAAATACTGTACCAGGCTCACTGAAACCTCGCTACAAACTACGCATTGGAGCCTTCAACGTACGTACCTTATGTCAAATCGGCCAACAGGCCTCATTGGCTAAGACCCTAAAATCTCGCATCGTTGGTGTATGATATGTCTCCAAAATGCGTATACAGGATCCTAGCGTGGTCATTCACTTAACCTCACCTAGTCAAAAAGGGGAGCCAACGAGATACACACTCCTTTTATCTGGAAATCCTATGGCAAGTTCTTGTGGACTGAGGTGTGTAGGCATAGCACTAAGTATGAGGGCAGAACAAGCACCTTTAGGATAGATCCCCGTTAACACTCACCCATGCGTTGTTTGGCTAAACGGCTCCGTAAGAACTCGGAAGGATAGGGACACACGTCGTTGCCTTTTCGTCATTTCTGCTTACGCCCCAAGTGACTGCAGCCCGGTTGAAGTGAAAGATGATTTTTACAGAAAGCTAAGCGCTCAGACATAGTACTCGTAGAGGGTGACTTTAATGCCTAATTATGTAGCTTAAACCAAAGAGAAAGACATTTAGGTGGGTATTTTAGCATCCCGACTCAGCGAAAAGATAGCGATAATCGTCCGTTGCAACTATGCTTAGACAATCGTTTATTTTTAGCAAACACTAATTTTAAGCATAAGGAGAGATACCGTCTGACATGGCGACTCTCTGCACCAAACGGACGATGGACTCAAATAGATCATATTGCCATCGGTCATCGTTGGAGAGGCTTGATAGAAGATTGTCGCTCGCACTGGAATACATGTTTAGACTCTGATCACGCTTTAATACGATCACGCATTTGTTTGCGCCTCACTGGAAACAGACAAACTACACTAAGAAGACCCATTAGAATTGAACTGGGGGACAAGAAAGCCAAAACTAAGTTCCAGGAACAACTGAGTTCACGTTTAGACAGTTCTGTAAACGAGGCTGGCCCAGATGTTGCTTGGAAAGATATACGAACAGCTGTGAAAACAGCAGCAACATCTATTAGTAATTTAAAGCAAAGGGTTGCAAAAACCAATGGATTTCTTCCAAGTCTATTGGACTGATGGATTCTCGTAAACTCATCCAATTAGGCTCTGAACACGATGAAGAGCGAAAGCAAATCAGATCTACGTTAACCAAAAGTCTAAGGAACGATCGTGAGCAGTGATTGGCAACGAAAGCGAAAGAAATGAAAAAGGCAGCGGATGTAGGCAACACCTGACAACTCTTCAGACTAATAAAAAAACGAAATTAAGAAGCCTTAATGGGCTGGCGTTTGACGAAATATCTGCACGGATTCAAAAAGCTCATTTCTCTTTGCCAACTTCCGTCACCTATGGCAAAGACGATTTATCCGTCTATCAATTAAAAGACGAGTATACTGCGCAGCAGTCTGCTCCGTTCTACTTTACGACTGCGAAACGTGGCCATTAAGAGTAAAAGATGCTAGTATTTGACCACAGATGGCTTAGAAATATTTCTAGCATCTGCTGGGATCACCGTCTATGTAATAATGAGGTTAGACAGAGGATATCAGGGAATAATGGTAAATCAGTTGATGAGGTTGTGAATCTTCATTGACTGAAACGGTTGGGCCACGTGTTACGTATGCCTGAACACCGATTACCACGACGCGCAGTGGTGACTAGTGTTGGAGACGGGTGGAAGAAAGTTAAGGGCGGCCAAACCAAAATGTGGCATCAGTGCTTGAAGTCATTAACTTCTAATCTGAGCCATGTTGGTAGACGCAGACTACTTGGTTGGGGTCCGCGCGACTATCGTAACCAATGGTTGCAGACTCTGCGTGACATGGCTCAGAATCGATCACAATGGCGTAGGTGTATACACTCTTTATCTTCCCTTAAACCGTGAGATTAAAATTACTTCATTTCTTTCTTCCTGTATTATATCTTTATATACAATCTTTCTTTTATATATTACCACCACTAAATTAACTACTATGAATTCAGTGTTGATCTTGTTGTGCTAATGAGGTATGGCAACATGAATCGATGCATATATGTGCCTGGTCCTACACTGTAGATCACTGACTGACCTACAAACATCGTGGGAACCGATGCCTCAATCAATAAGCTAACGTCAAAATAGTTGCCATTTAGAATATCAGAAATAACAGTACTTGATGCTACGCCTATCAAGTTAATTCTGTTTGACAAAGATATGTCCCTTTGGAGCAATTATTTTTGTGTCAACGGAAACAAACAGTTTGATATTGTTCATCGGTAAGATTAATAATTCTAAGGTTAAATAAATTGTTAGTGTATTGGAAAGTAAAAGTTGAAATATTTTTCCTACTTGGTTAAATCAAAACATTACATCTAAATATCAATTTTTTCATGTTAGGTTATAAGAAAGATTTAACCACAAATCAAATCTGTTTCACAGTTATCCTTTATCTTCTATTTTTCGTAATAACTTATCGATAAAGTCATCAATATATGTCGATGAAATACATATGCTGGTGACATTTGAACTAGCGTACGCAAACCAGCCAACCAAACAAAAATTGTATAGACAGAAACATGGGAAAATCGAAATTAATAGAACAATTATGTATTTAGTATATAGACGACATTCATGACCACTTAATATCAACACTTTTTATGGAACACGGAGACGCTCGACTAAGCAATCTTAAGGAAGATAATATGCCTGCTAAACATATATTTATAGTTCTGACTTATATTTACCCATTAAGTATGACTTTAAATGTTTGACTTCTTAGCTATGTATTTACTTCTACATCCTTGCTCTATACCTCTTAAAGGAAATATTGTTCTCCCATTTTAGATCGTGGTGTGTATATCCCAACAGTTGCATTATGTTTTTTATTCTTCTATGTTGAGGTAGCTGTAAGATTCCGTGATCCAAAAAGCCAGCCTCTTGGTATAGATCTCTGTAGACCTTTTGCAGCTCATTGGTAAGTTTATAAACTTTGCTTAAATGAGTTACCTCTTCTCGTAGTTATGTTTTTTAGAGATATTTAATAGCTTTTCTATGCATTATTTAAACCCTCAATTAATAAAGCATGTCCACTCATGGAAGACATAAACTACTAATCGAGAGATGACGTAATCCATGTTTTTTGGTTGTTTACGCTAGGGATTTTGGAACAAGCAAACTATCTCTGTAAGTTCTAGGACCAAACACCTTACCACATTTACTTGAGTTTGGCACCCGAGTAATATTACTTCTCACGCAAAAACATGTAGCCAAAGGCCGTGTGGATAACACTGTTTAGTTGATACATTTATGAGTGGTATAATTGTAAATCATTCTAAATAACTGGGATAGATTGTCTATATGTAGTTTCTGTCTACTTTTGGTCTTCAGGTGTTTTCTCGTCGAAACGGCTTTTTGTCACTGAAGCGCTGAGAATCATATACACTGTATGAAATTTGATTTGTCACTAAGCTTTATATCAAATGTGAGTTTTAAACCATTTTCACATCTACCGAAGATCAATAGCCAGATAGACAACATACTCTCATACTTTGCTAATCAGTATTCCCATACGGCTGATGTAGTAAAAAAATCCATATAGTCTAATACCGGGACTATTGTATGGTTGTGGGAGTGTGTTCTGTGTAATATAACGGAATATTATGACTGAAGTCAATCAGCTACAACGTAGGACCAGGCACATATGTGCATCCGTCCAAGTTGCCATAACCTCATTAATACAACAAGATGAACACCAAATTTATAGAAGTAGTTAATTTAACGGTGGTAATATATAAAAGAAAGATTCTCTATAAGGATGTAGTACAGAAAGGAAGAAAGGTATGAAGCAATTTTAATCCCATGGTTGTGTAATATTTAGCAAAGTAATTTGTGTAATTTTTAATTTTTCGCTACTCCCAAACAAAAGCGTTTAGACACCACGTGAACATAAATGACAAAGTTTCAGCAATATTTTCTGTTTTTGGTGTTTGTCATTTTCCGTCGGTAGTGATTTATTCTCCATCCCTTATTCAAATAGCTTGTGTTATGATCAGCTTGTACCATATTTTACTCGTTTTTTCATGATTTTAACATTATAATGTATGCGTTAGATCCCAGAATACTCAATATTTGTTTGAATCAACCACAACTTTAGCTATGATCATGTTCTACTTTACTAATAGTAGTAATCAAGGTTTGTTGTTGGCGGTGTATTCTATTCAGATCTGTCGGTTGTTCATTCAACGTGGAACTGGGCACATATATGCATCAGTTCAAATTACCACACACAATGAAATCGAATTATCAATACAGATCCCAAAGAAATACATTCAGAAATAGTATCAATAGAATAGAATAAGTATGGACAATATAATTCTGGATTGAACTGGTGGAATAGAAAGTATAAAACGATTTTAAAACTCAAAATCTAGAGGAAGAAAAGGATTGATTACTTTTGTGTCATTGCCATCAATCCTGAGCCATGTTACCTAACGTCTCCAACTACCGATCGCAATCATCACATGGACCCTAACAAAGTGATAGACATCTACTTACTAGGTTCAACCCCAGCATCCAATGACTCATGCCTCATTTTGGCCACTTTTATCTTTCTCCAACCTATCTTTACACCAACAAATATTGTGTATTGATGTTAGATATTGGTTGGACACTTAATACATATTTTAACTACCTCAGTTGATAAAGATTCACTATCTCACCAATCGACTTTCCATTCTTTCTTA